CAAAGAAACCAGGTCGCCTGACTGTGCAAACCTGACCAGAACAAAAGGTCTCTATGGAGAGGGATACCTGCTGATTTGCACTGCAAAGGGTCTCTCAGTATAGAAATGAGCTGCAAAATCTCATTTCCCCCCTCCATCAACCTACATAAAGGAAAAAATGCCTGAAGCTTTAAAAATGAACTTATTTTCAATCATATTAGGAATTAAGACTTTTCTAAAATGAAAAGATTTGCCCTGTTTGAGGCTGAGATACCCCCACATGCTTCGAGGAAATTCATGAAACTAATAACTGCAGTGGGAATAAGCGGAACCATACCAGAAATTGGCACAGCGTTCCACTTGTTTAAGGACAAAAATGACATTATGAATCAATATACAATAAAATGACTCACTGAGATGGTACTTTCCCCCCCCCCAAGTGTCTGTTTAGCTTTCAACAAAATGCCTCAAACTATCTGTGCAAATTGGTTCACTCGTGTTACTTTTATTTTTATCCTGCATGCCACATAGTCGCCATAGTGAGAGGAATGAACATACAGTTCATCAGCTGCTTGATTTATTATGTTTATTAATTCGGCGCAAGCAATTAAAGATATGATTGTTTTGTGCGTGTGTGGAACTGAAGGTCAGCATTTTCACTTCTTTTAGAACACTGTCCTAGAAATACCTACACAAACCTTAATATAAAACACAGTTGGCTTTGCTTTCTTACAGGAAAATTAATAACAGAGAGTTTTGATTTAACATTGTTCCACTTGCTGTTTGGTAGACAAACAGTGATTCAGTCTGCAAGTCTGGCATTATTTTCAGAAGTGCTTTAATATAGGTGAAAAAGGCGATTGTCTTATTCCTGGCCCTGAGCACATCCATCTACATCTTGACATCTTTTTCCGTGCAGCGTATGAAGCATACAATGTCAGTCAGCTTCTTCCAGTGCAGGATGCCAGGTGAATTTAAATGAATGCGAGATGAGATGTTAGAAATCAGCGTGAGGGACGACCACCTTTCAACTGGAGAGCTCGGGTTCAAGCTCCTGCGTCAGCAAGAGTCTGATCTGTGTGCACTGTAAATATCCTTGAAGACCTGCCAGGTATATGGCCACTGTTGCTCTGCAGCTGACCCTGTGCTCTGATTTCTTTATAAAAAGACAAGCAAGGAGAGAAGGTCTAAGAAAAATCAATGAAATGTCATGCTACTATTATTTATATGAAAACTGCTCACATACAGCTCCTTTTTTTTTATTACAAACAGACCTTTAAATGTCACAAAACACACAAAAAGGCTAGATCTATAAGTTCTCCAGTGAATATACTGTACACCTATCACCCACAGCATTAAAATCACCTTCTCAATATTATGCAGGTTCAACTCATGCTGCCAAAACCTCCCCCCCTCTCAAAAAAAAAGAAACTGCTCTGACCCATCCCACCATGTGCACAAAACCTCTGGGGGCGTCCTCTTATGTCTGGCACCATGATGTTGGCAGCAGATGCTTTGTGGGTTGTGGTGTGTGGTCCAAATGGTTCCTAATTTATATATTTTTTTCCTTTCTTGTAGTTTCTTGAAATTGGGATCTGTGGAAACTGAAATATGAGTTTAAAACCGTCATCTTCAGCTGCTGTTGAGAGCCTGCTGTTGTTGGGTGGTACCATTGCCATCGTGGGGGGTGGGGTGGAGGTGGGAGTTTGCAAAATTGTTTAGTTGATGGGGTGGTGTACAGGCCAGACATACACATGAATCACAGGACCCAAGGATTCCTAGAAGTCAAATGGATCGATCTTATTAAATTTACCTATCCAGTAGTTTTAATTGCGGCCGTATGCTTGTATGACACCTGAATCTGTCTTTGTGAAGTGTCCCAAACCATAATTGACTTAGGTTCACAGACGTTTGTGTAGCGTGATCTGCCCCTTGGGGAGAAGACACTGCACGTTCCCAATGATGGAGGAGAATATGGATCAGAGGAAGCGTGTGACTGGTTACTGAGCGCTGTAGCACTGGTAATCCTGTTGTGAGACTGGCAAATGGGATTAGAGGACTGTGTGTAAGAGAAACAGAAGCAAGGGATGACCGGGAGGCTTTACATTCATGGCTTAATCTCACATTTTCACTTCATTTAAAGTCATCGCGTTGACAACGGCCAACCAAGAGTCGGCTTCTTCACAGGCAATCCTGTGTGTGCTTTGACCGTTTTGAAAGCCTGATATTGCTAGACTGAGTGAGTCAACTTTATGATTATATCTGAATATTTTTAAAGCGAAAGAAAGAGTTTTTTTTCTGCATCGTTGAAAACTAACTGAAGCATTTAAGGGATATGGCACAAACATTGTGAGGGCTTTCAAGCAGGATGACCCACCGTGTTTTTTCAAAAAGAAGAAAAAACTGCTTTTAAATGAATAATAATGGGCAGCCTGCTATACTGAAGGTAAAGTGCCTGTGTGGTTTCCCAACTGTGCCAGTCTCTGTGTCCCTTTGCTTTATAGTATTCCTCCAGTGTTTGGTTCCACCAGCTTACTTACTAGGAGACATTTACCAGTTTTTTCTCGGTTGTTATACCATCATTGAGTCCCCCCCCCCCACAAAACTTAAAGCCAAGTTGACATCAGCAGAAAAAAAAGAAAGAAACACCAGTCTCACAAAACGCTCTTGGTATGTTCGTCTCTGTTTGCCAGTAGTGAATTTATTTCAATCACTTTCAATTGATATAATACGCTTTAATTCTTTAAAATGATGAACAGCTTAACTGCATTGGGAAAAAATTGATTTCTCCTACTGCATGAGTTGGCTAATAACTTAAAATCAAACAGACAGTAAATCAACAGAAACTCATTAACTAAAAAGCCAATATCTGCTTTACTGAACCCACAGTTGCACCCACAGCTGCATCAGTGTCATCTCCAGCCTCCTGTCTCTTCGTGTTCGGGATTTCGCGAAATGAGAAGCATTAACTTGGCCGCTCGGCTCACACTGACCCTGTGCCGATATTCTCTCCTACAATACCACGGCTCCAACCTGCCTTCACAACTCGTGCTGCCCTGCAGCCAGATCTGCTCCACTTTCCACCTCTACCATTAAATTGTCATGTAGAGGCAGTGACTTTGAATCTGTGTATTAATGCATATGCACACATTACAGATTTAGTATATTTAGCATACGTGGGGGTTTTTTTGTGTGGTTTTTTTCACATTGAAAGCAATGGCAGATCAGAATGTTATCATAGTGTTCTGGATAAAGCTGTGCCCTGTAGTGGTTTATGTGCTTCTTGCACTTTGACCAGAAATATTTATTTAATATGCATTTAAAAAAAAAAGAAACAGTTTCAGATGCTTTTAGAAAAATAAAAGAACGTGTTCAGGATGCTCCTCACATACAGCATACACATATGTGTCTGCAGAGGTGACAGTCATGCTGTTGTCATTTCAGTATTAATTATTAGCGCTGGCTAATGACTTTGCTGTGGTGAGGTACAGCAAACGACTTCCACAGGATGTGTGGTGTGCTGTTTTTATTTTGCTTGGGGGGGGCAGAGAGGAAGTAAAATGAGAACTGGAGAATCTGTGTGGGAAGACAGAGGTCACTGTATGCCAAAGCAATTACCTTCCTCATCCAGGGCCCTGCCAATGCGCTTGTAGAGGAGAGAGAAAGAGAGGTCAGTGAGGAAATAAATACATGTATGGTCAAACACTCAGTCTTCTGCACGTCTGCTTTAGAGCACCTGCTGAAGTTTACATGGCATTCGTATCACCCCAAGTTCATACAAATGTGCCTGAAAGCGCCGCTCCCGTGAGCCTCCTTCACAAATATTTATTGAGGGAATTTGTTGAAGTTCTAGTTAGGTGTCAAATTAGACAGACAAAAGCAGCAATATTATGAAGTTTATATAATTGCTCAACTGCCAGGATGTGTTGTGACATGAAGAACATTATCTGTCAGGAGCCGATGCTTTTCTCTGCTCTGACAAGTCTTCATGTTCTGGCATCTTAGGGGATCTGTCACAGAGCGAGGATGGCAGCGAGATAGATCCCCTTGCATGTGCTCGGACCGGGCAACAGAGTGCTCGGAGTAGAGGTCAGGAGAGCCCGGGCCATCATGCTGCTGACAGCTCAGATTTATTTTTAATCCAGGCGATGAGAGCTAGCCACACAGATCATGTGGCTTGTTAGTGTTGAATGGCGAGCCCCTCCGCCATTACACTGCGATTTTACACAAAGAAAATGTGACAAAATAATGACCTTGGTGAGGGAAAAACCCAGATAATTGAGAGCCAGCTGAATGGCGTTTGATTGTTATTCCACGCAGCGGCTGCTGTTTCTTTCGTTGTGAAATCTCTTGAAAAGCCAGGTCACTTTCCCTCCATCAAAGCTTTATTAACATTTTGACCTCAACCAATTGTTCTTTGTTGTGTGTGTAGGTTACAGTGTGTACATGAAGGGCGTTACATTGATTGCGTTTAACATATTTACTGTCTGCTCATTTTTGACCAATTTCTTTATGATTGGTGAAAAATGTCATTATCATTGCATCAGCAGCCACGTTACTTGCTGCCCAAAGTGGCTGCGGTCACAAAGCAATTTTGCTGACAGTCCTTCCTCTCTCCTCCCCTCTCTGTCTTTGTCTCTTTCTTTTTTTCTCCTCTCTCTGTGTTCTGATAGGTGCCAATTATAAAGGCCCTGCATTGAAGCCTCTCCAGCCGCCAGTGACCCTGTTAGCTGGCTTTAATGTCAACGATCTGGCTCCAAAGTGGAGGGAATTACCTCACTTTTAGTCTTCAATCAGGCAAAAAAGAAGAGCAATACAGCAAAATGCAGAGCTTGACTCTTTTTCAACCCTTGTGCTTTTTTGAGGGTCTGCCTGCTCTTGCTTTCTGGTGAAACACAGGGTCAGGACTGTGTGGATAAAACCCTGAGGGTTTTGACATTTCAGCTTTTCTGTCTTTTTTTTTTTTTTTTTTTTAATTTTTTGTGACAAAGTTTTTTTTTTTTAATTTCATTTAATTTTCTTTTTTTTTTTTTTTTTTTAATTTTTGCTCCTCTTCTGGCCTCAGTGCTTTTTGGAAAAGGCCCAAATGATCTGGTGGTGTTGCTCAGGCATATGCAGAGCCCTAGCTCTTCTGGCGCTCCTGTTTCCCTTGCAGGAGAGGAGCTGCTGGGGTCTCAATCCCAGCTCTGGGGATCTGGAGAAGTCTCCACACTCTGATCCAGACCCCTGGGATGTCCCGCACAGAAACAGACGCAGCTGGGTATGGAACCAGTTCTTCGTATTAGAAGAGTATACAGGAAATGAACCTCTCTACGTTGGCAAGGTAAGCGATCCATTAGCACAGTTTAGTGTGTTGTCATATGTGCAAGAAATGTGACTGAGCTGCTGTTCAAATCAGCACCTACTTGTGTTTTTTATTTATTTATCATTTTTTTTTGCACGTTTGCTGCACCTGCACAATAATACACATATCAATAACTCCTTACCACAATGACCTGCAAAATCTGGGACACAGCAGGGTTTCAGAGAGTTGTACATATTCCTATTGTCCTATATAAAATGCTGAACAAATGAAAACACCAAATGCAGACAGTGTGGGAGGACATTCTGCATTTTATTGCGACAAGGTTGAAGCATTTGCTTGTGGAAACACGCAGTTTTAGTTTGGAGATCGACAAGGTAATTTGCATTGTAATCAGTCCACAGAAAAAGGTATATATATTACTCAAATGTGTCTTTTTACAGTAGGTGTTTTGCCAAGGTCCAAGCAGATAGATCAAAGTAATGCCTGTTTTGGCGGGTAAATAAGTACAAAAACCTCCCAATGACATTTAAAGCAAGGCATAAATGGCATAGTTAACGCGAGGGTACACTGACAAAGTGACTAATCATGCTTTTATGAGATGTGGCAACACTGCTGGTAGCATTTCCTTAGGTAAAGACCAATAGTGGTAAAAACATAGGCCGCTTAACTGAGTAATATAGCATTAAAATACGCCTTTATAAGAAATTTTCCAGCGTTCACATTTTAAGTGCGAGACAAAACAACGCAGTGTACATAATTATGTACAATTACAACGCAGGAAGTTATTTAGAGAACTTTAAAATTTAGTTTGTAGTTCATTCATCTTTAAACGGTGTGGAACTAGCCAGTAAAGGCTTCTAAAGGCACTCTGAGGACATGTTTATATGTGTAATCTCATACCTGTAGTTTTTGCTTAGACACAAGTAATTGTACTTCAATTACTGACATATCCATTAGTAAAAGCTTGATCTTTCAACTGTAATACTTTAAATTAGTTTAATACATTGCAGCATTACTGTGAATATTGAACAGGCTAATCCCTTCGAAAGGGGATGTTTAAAAAAGACTTACCAAAGTATCTATGCAAGGCCTTTTCTAACTTGGCAGGGAATAGAAAGATTATCTATAAAGCACATTTTATACACAGAGGCAATTTTGAGTTTTTGACATGCATTGCTCTGAAAGAAATTCAGTGCAAAAAAAGTACAATATCCCCTGTGAGTGCAGTAGATAATAAGTAGAAGAATTTGTTTGAAAAAGAGATGTAAGTAGCATAAAATTGACTTATTTTTGTTGAATGGAATCACTATAGCTGAAAATGAATCATTCAAAGAGATGCAGTCAGTGAAAAAGTAACATTCAAATCAACTTTAAGGGAAAGCCCCTCATAATGTATTTTATTAAGAATTTTTCATCGAGGTGTAAAGAAGTAAATATACTGTATACTCTATAGGTAAAAGTACCTGACATCTGTAGTGTAATACATTAATGAGTATCCACAGGTATTTTTAATCCAATACTAATGCTGGAGTAGCCTTCTGCAGAACCGTTAGTTTGCAGTGTGCAGAAGCATTGCTCCCCAGCTTTCAGCGCTACAGGATAAATGGACAGCTCCTGTTGGAAAATGGCTCTAGCGTGTGCAGTGCAAGCCAGATGGGTCTTGGATTGGTCTCCAGATCCCTGTTATCTTGGAGAATTTTCTGGTCTTATTATTAAATTAGTTTTCATCTTTCCGCTCGTCTGTAGGATAATCATTCTCATCTGCATGTATTTGCTAGTTCTGCTCTCACAAGCCCATTTCCTCGCTGTCTCTGAACTGGATTAGCGTCTCCAGCTGGAATTAGGATACATTTGACTGTCCTATTGTTCTCCTCTGTATTTTTTTTTTTTTGCCAGAAGGCTGCTAGAGCAAAGCATCTAAATCAGAATGAGCTTATTTGTGACATTGCTGGAGTTCAGCTAAAGGTCATTTCTTGTCCGCGGTCATCTTAAATGCAGTTTTGTCTGATCTGTGTGTCCCCAGATATCTGTTACATCTGACTACTGAGGAGAGCGTTTTTGCTTGTGAACATCTGTGCCGTGTCCTTGTCCTGCGTTGCCCATTTGAAAGTTAAAAAAGAGAGGTCGTGGCGCAGTTAGGAATTTCTAGTGCCTGTTTTCTTTTACACATTCTTGTGTCTGATTGCTTTTCTTGTTAGTAAATCCCAAAGGACATGAACAGACTGATTACTTATTCATAGATGTGTTGAGATCCGCTTATTCACATGGAATATACACAAACTCATTTGCAAGTAAGCTCCTGACTAAGAGGTCCTTTTATTTTTCCATTCAAACACTGATTCATCCTTTATGGCTTTTTTTTCTTTTCATTTTGTAGTTTTGTAGTAATTCATCTACCAATCCGGTGTAAAGACAACATAGCAGCAGGCATGTAAAAATCAGACTGGTTACATCTTTGCATCTGACCTCATGCCCGAGCCCAAACCCTTTGAGAAATATCAAAAATCTGATTCATTGACTCCCTGCGGGCAGAGCAGGCTGCCTGGGAGCTTGAGAAGCTGTCACATTATTTGTTCCCTGAGATCATAGTTGTCACGTAGTGTGTGTTTGTTTGATGTCGCAAGGGCACACTGCTGCTGTAAAAAAGCGTGGGTGGGACACCCTGACCTTGTGACTCAGTGTGAGTGACATGGAAGGTCCTGCCATGTCAAGAAAATGACCTTACTGGAAATGAATTCTTCATAAATAAAAAAAGAATAAAGTTACAGCGCTAACACACACAGCCCTAAAATTCCCGGCAGGTTGTAAGCAACAACACCAGAGTGGCACAACCAGTAATTGCTTTTGTCAGAAGTATCCGGATATCTAATATGACGAACAATAGGAATCCATGTCCAAACAATGATCCAGTCACAGCACAATTTGGCCATTTGTTTGGCTGGAAGCAAAGGCAAAAATGATATAGTCAGTAGGAAATAGGAAGTTATCACTTTGGCCTGGCTGCTCCCCATATCTGCAGTCTGCTTGGCTTTAATGCATTCTGTCAGATTCTGAATTTCACAACCAAATGTCTCATTATGCCTTGGCACTCAGCCTCGGGTAAGTGTACTGGCCTGGAATCAGCGGCAGTCAAATCAAGCCAGTGGAAATATACATTAAAGAACCTCAAACTACACAGCCTCCACCGCAAATTGTCAACACACTTATTTAAACAAGTGAAAACGCTGGAACAAGTCATCCACTTAACAAACGCTTACTGGTAAACATGATGTGATGCGCATTTCCTGCGGGGTGTTCATGTGGCTAAATATTTGCCTGTGTTGAAACAGCACTGTGTGGCATCTGCTGAATAAGCGGTGTTAGGAGGTGTGAAATTTTTTTAGATCTTTGTTTTTGTTAATGCATCAACATCACTCGCCTCGCAATTCGGAACACTTTTTCCATGTTCAATAACTTTTCTAAATCCACTCCTACATGCTATTTTTCATGGATCTGTTTGTGTTTGAGGAGCGAGAGAAATTTGCAGCCTTTGAGGCAGAGTGCTGCTTCACATCACAGGAGGTACAAGCGCACAGAAGCAGCCCTTATGCTGAACTGCACTTATTTATAGAGATGTCTTCAAAATTAGCCATCTAACTAACCATCCGAGTAATGGATGGACCAATTTCACCTTATAATTCAAGCGGCAGTTGGGCAGCAGTAGCCGGGGCTCTTCGGCTACACTCAAAAGCATTTCTTTCAACACAAATAAAAGAACCCTTATGAAGAGCAAAAGACTAGAAGCCGTCTCTTGATGGAAACATCTCTGGCGCTGAGCTATCAAATGTACAAAGGTGCCGGAAATTCAACAAAAGAAACAGAAATATCTGTTTTTTTGTGCAACAAGCGTTTGTTGTGCTTTTTATTTTTGCAACTTCCACTAGATATTTTTTCATGTGCGTGCATTATGAGTTATTTGTGACCCGACATCGAGAACTCGGTGTTCGGAATGACAGTAATTCAGCTTAATAATCAAACAATATGCATCGTGGGCAGCAGGGACAGTCCCACAGATAATTACACCAGAGTGAACATAATGTGTTACTACTCAAGCCACTTCATTAGCATTCTTTGGAGTGTTCACTGTCAAATGGGTTAGAATCATAGAGCACAGGCAACTTGCAAAGGTCAGCCTCACTAGCGTCTACTCACACTTGCTGGTGCCACAAACACCGCACAGCTGGGGAGTGGTGAGAGCAGCCTGTTGAGCTGGAGAGGAGGGTGATTCAAGCTGACAGGGGGACATCATACACACAAGGGACAAGAGCTCACATAGTTGGGAGCTCGAGAGGCATCCTGGGGCCATCTGAGATAGTGGGAAAGCCGTTATTCAAGCCAGAGAATCAAAGAGGATAAAAACAGCAGTGTAAACCAGACAATAGCGTAGTTATCAGCAGGGTAGGGGGGAAGACAGGATGGGGACATTGTTTACTATTGGACTCTCTCACACATATAGGGCTGAAGTGAATATCAGCAGGGCAATTTTTAAAGCAAATTTGGTGAAGTTTGACTTAAAGTCTAGAAGGAGGTTGGGACAAAGTCAGGGCAAAGCCGTTTATATGAGGTTGAGGGCAAAACAGACGACAAGCTGCACATGTAAATCATCAAAGAACACAGCTAATAATTTAAAGTAAGCTAAGTTGACTTTAGTGGCTGGGGTCTGATCAAAGATCTCCTAAATAGACATGAATTTTAGCAGCAAGGTTGCAGAGTTTCATATAGTTACAGAATTTGCCAAACAAGGTAATTAACCCTTAAACCAAACACAGGCTGGCTGTGAATGGCAACAGGTTGGATGTCTGCAAACATATGATTACATGTGGACAGGGGTTCAGTTTTATGCCCTTATTTGCTTTCTGGAGAGAACGTTTTGGTTTCACTTAAATATGAAGCTGCGGCCACCAGAATGTTTGCTTTGCTTAGCATAAACACCGGGAACAGAGTGTAACAGCTAGCTTGGTAGCCAGGTAACAAATTCC